GTCTCAGTACATTTTTGAAAGCCTGGCTATCAACTACCAGAATTTTCATTTGCCTCTTTGATTTTTCCCCCCACCCCCTTCTCACATTTTTCTTGCAATATTTGGGACATTTGCTCTTAGTAGTGACTGGAACAAGATATTTTGCAAAATCTAAGAAACAAAGCTTATAATATAAATAAAAACGTTTTCTTTGCACTATATGGAAAACCTGTACCTTCACACAAGTGCCTTGCATCCACAGCAGAAAACATTTGGCTGGTGGTTAGGCTGGGATAAGTGAGGAGTGAGAGGAAGCAGGGTCTGATGTTTTTGATTGCAGCTGGTAAGCAACATCCCAGAGCTACCCCTCTACAGCAAGGAACTCACATTTTCTACCATGTTCTCACTTCCAGCAGTTTATTAATTAACTGCTAAAGTTTTTGCTCTGATTCACCTTAGAATTCAGATCCTTTTTGAAAATAAGTTATCTTTAAATTAGAACATAGCCTTTATTAATAGCAGGAAATTCCAAGTAATTATTTTGTTCTTCTTTCTCCTCCTATTTTTTATTGGAGCTAGATGTTGATTTTTGTGAACTGTATATTTTCTACCCTAATCAATCTTGTTTCTCTTTCTTCCTTTAGCCTGAAGACTTTTGGTGTTTAGAATTAACTTTGCTCTCAGTCCTTTTCCATTTTGTGCACGATTATGCACCTAATTAGAGGTAATTGTTTCCTTGTTCCTACAGCATCAGCCAAGCAAGCAGATCTCAGCTACCTCTGAGTGTTACAAGGAACCTCCATCCTAGAAAAAGTGCAGCAAAGACTTTGGTAATTTGGGCATGTTCATTGTTCTGTACCTATAACAAACAAGTCTTAGAGGGGTTTCACCTGCTACAATAAGCTGTGAGAGATAATGGAAATCTGGGTATTCTGAGCCAAGAAAGGCAGCATTAATGTTATATTACTGTCACAAAGGTTGTTGATCAAGATTCTTTTTTAATCAAAGCTTTAGCATTTATTAGCTTTGTGTCAGGTTCTCTCTTGGGTTTTATTTGTAATTGAGAATAAATGCATAATTTTACTGATTTGACTGCAACTTTTTCAAACTTTTGAATTCCAGGATTGAATTCTTATCTGTTATCTGGGACTCATAAAAGGTATTTAACTGGGTCTAATCATGGTAAAATGCAAATTGTCATTAATTAAGTTTGTAATTGTGTAGTGGGAATGAGAATAATTTACAGGAGCGGGGGTAGTAGAAGACCTTTAAGTAGCAGTGCATGGCGAATGAGATGCACAGCTTGCATTATCACCAGGAGCTGCATGGCTAATCCAGCAGCCTCGGTGCTGGGGAAAATGTACCCTGGGATGTCAGGTGTTAAGGGGAAGAATGGGCCTCTCACGTTCTTTGCACTTACAAGCCGGCTGTAACCTTTTGACTCTCTCTCTCTTTCTCTTCTTGAGTTTTGTTTCCTGAAAGGAAAAGGGGGTGGGGGAATGCAGGGGAAGAAGGCTTAAAGAGTGAAGGATCTGTTTCAAAGTACTGTAGTGTATTTGCAAGGTTTTTGTTTAGTTTTTTTTTTTAATTGAATGAGTTTTATTTTATTTCTTAAAGGAGCAGTTGCTTTTAATGTGGAGAGTTTAGAGCTTGACTTAAGATATGAATGTCTGCTGAGTACCACTATCAACACTATAAACTTTACACATGTGATTCTGCCACAAGTGTTTTGCACATGGTTTGTTTATCTTCCTAACTAAAATGAATTTATCACATTTAAGAGCATAACAGAGGAGGAGAGCTAGTTCTGTGAATTAATGTTGCTTTCCCTATTGACCAGTGCAGAAAAACAACTCCCAAATAACAAGAAATCCCTTTTATTCTCAAAGGATCCCTTAATGTAGCATGATCATATATTGATCACATTGAACTTGGGTGTAATCTGGAAATGCACATGCAAAGAAAAACTTGTGAAATTCTTGCACATTTAATCTCCTTGGTGACTCTGAGTTAGTGAATGTGAAAATACCTTGATGCAAGGAGCTGAGCATTTACTTAGTCTACAAGAACATGCGACAAATAAAGGGGAAAAAATAGATGTCTAGTTAAGGTAGATCCCTCCAAACTCAATTACTTTGAGGAAAAAGAGCAGAATGTAAAAAAATATATGCAAACTTCTATTATCCTTTTCTGAAATAGTCTGTTCTGGGCTGATCCTTATTAGAATGTAAATGTGGAAACACTAAAGGTGGTGATTACTTCCATGAATTAAAAGGAATCTTGCTCATAGCACAGCAGCCTGAGAATGCTAAAGGAGTTTTGTATATTCCTGGTTGCCATCTTTGGTGTGAGCATCTTGTTCCACTTCAAACTTTGTGTCTTTCTTTGTTAGAGATAACTTTGAAATGGCTCACATTGCCTTTGCGTGGCTGAAATGTGGCAGCAATGGAGTGGAGCCAATGGAGTGGTAATTTTGCAGCCAGCAATCAGGAAAAGGAAGAGTCCTTAGCCAGGGGACTCAACAGTGCCAGGAGGAGCCATTATTCTATTATTATTTCTAGTGTGGAAGCATTGTTTTAAGTTACATCAAAAACATCCTTTACATTTCTTTGCTATTTGTGTTGTAAATTTTCCATATCGACTTTTCCAAAGGAAAGGTGTGAACGTGTATCGAAGTGGGCTGCTTGGGATGCATCTTGCTTTGGAAATTGTGGGTTAAAGGGAAACCTGGAATCAATGGTAATTCCTCTGTTTCAGCCTAGAAGTTTGTAGAGACTGGCCAAAGATGGAATGAGTTCTTCTTTTCTTAACACTTGCTGAGAGCAACTCTTTAGACAGCCTGTCTGTTCATAGGCACAGTCTTCCCATTTTTTTCTACTATTAGGGAGTCCAGCATTTTCAGTTTTAAGCACTCAACCCTGTAAGCTTTCCAGAAGCCTTACAGAGGGCTAAAGGGGAAAGAACAAAGCCTATATTGTTTTCTATGTATATGGACTTGTTTTTATCTCCTGGAAGATTTGATATCTTCCCATTTTTTTCTACTATTAGGGAGTCCAGCATTTTCAGTTTTAAGCACTCAACCCTGTAAGCTTTCCAGGAGCCTTACAGAGGGCTAAAGGGGAAAGAACAAAGCCTATATTGTTTTCCATGTATATGGACTTGTTTTTATCTCCTGGAGGTTACACGGATTTCAGAAGATTTGATGTAGATAGTTTTCTTGTTTTCAGTTACTGAGAAGTCCAAGGTCAGTAAATATTTTATATTCAATCCTGCTTTCATTCCACTATGCAGAGCATGTGTTGGGAACCAGTATTGAAGAGATTTGCATACTGAAGATTATTATCATAATCCATTTTTTTATTGATAGACTTTGGGGAGGTGAAGGCTTTACAACTACAAGACAAGAGAAATTTGACATAAATGTAGAAGTTGAAGCAATGTCCCAAATAATTTGGGCCATTTGAAACACGAATGGGAACAGAACCCAAATAACCTAAATTCCAGTCCAGCGTCTTAATCCTGAACCCATTTTTTTCTTTTCAAAATTAAAGTTTTCATGATTATTATTTCTACTGCTAGGGCTTTCCAAGGATATAAATGTGACCTAATTTATTAAATGTTGTCTTATGTGCAAGACAGAAGTAAAATCCTTACCCCAGGGCACTTACTCAGTGGCCCTGATCCTGCAATCTGATCTCCTGAATGAATGTCTGAACTAACATGAGCCCTGCTGCCTGTTCTGAGAGTTTGGCTGGGATTTTAACAGGGAAGGGACATGAAGATTGCAGGTCTACAACACCCTCAATCAACTTCATACACGACCACTACTTTCCTACATGGTTGTGTGTTTCCCTGAGACCTCTGTCAGCTTTTGTGTAGCTATTTCTCCATTACCTTCAGTAGATGGTGAAGTTTGGGCTAAAATGTTTTTTCTTCTGTGTATAAGCCTTGATCTATGGCACTACTTAAAGATGCTTTGCGATGCACCTGGAGATTAAAGTGCATCGCCCCTGCAGTGCATTGATCTTGCCTGGCCCAGAAAGGGGTTGTCATAGATCTGCTTTTCAAATCAGGACTCCCTCATGGGTTTTTCCAAGGCATCATCTCCATGTCATTGGGTTGGCAGGATATGAAGCTGAGGGTCTTTTTGAAGTTTTCCTTCACACCAAGGGGTGTAACCTTGTTGTGTGGGAATCGTGGCAAGTTACACCCTCTCTTCCCTGTGTGTTCAGGGCAGGATAACTTAATGCAGTGTTCAAATATTCTTTTCTGTGCTTTTCTAAAAGTAAACTGTTCAGTTTGTTGTGTTGGAGTATTAAAATGAAGAATGCAATCTGAATGCTGAGAACTAGTTTATTGCAAAGGACTGAAATACACGGGATAAACTTCATTAATTAATTAAATAGTCCTATAAACATCCATGCCTTTGCAGCTACACACAATAGTCTTATTTTAAAAAAACATGATCATGTGCTTCATCAAATATCACTCAGGCCAGTATTATTTAGTTTTTGCATAATCATAAAACAAATACCACTTTAAAGCCTGCTTATGTATCTCACATTTCTTTTTTCTTTCTTTTTTTTTTCTGAGTATAAAAAAATTTAGTTTCCTGCATCAAATGATTTGTTATTGGAAAAGGAAAGCAACATTTCTTTATGCAAAACTCTTCTTCCTTCAAAACTGGTACATGGAAAGTATTTTCCAGCTTGTGGAGTTTATTTGATTTTGAACACTTTTGGTTATGTAAGTTTTAATAAGTAGCTTTGGTGTACCCCTAAAGGCACACCCCACACACTTATGTTGTGTGACCTAGGGTCACAAGTAATGGCTGCAAGCTAATTGATTGAGAAAGGCTTGTCTGACTGGGCCCCTTTGAGTCCTCCCTTTACATTCCTAAATTTCTGTAAAGGAGGCACTGGCAGCTTTGCCTGGTGAGAGGAGGGGTTGGGGGAAAGGGAGGAAGTTTCTCAGTTTCTGATTATGCGCAGAGTTTCCTTGTACTGAGCTTATGTTCTCCACCCACTACTTAGTAAGAACTCCTTAACAACTTAAAGCTTTATCCCTGTGAGTACCAGAAAAGTGATCTGAGTATTTATTGAGCAGGGAGAACAAACTGCTTGCTCCAGGCAGAGAGAAAGCTTATGGAAATGATATTAGACCTTCAGCAAAGTGCACAGCTGCATCATACAGAAGCTGAGACTCAAACTGACAGGCAAATAAGCCAGATCACGGAAGGGGCCTCTGTGTGGCAGCTCTGAGCTACCAAGTGTTGGACAACTAGGCAAAAAGTGCAATGGAACAGGGCAGAAAATAACACACTAACTTCAGGCAACTGTTGCTTATTCATGGTGAGTCCAGATTTGAAATGTTGTTTGAAATGTAGCTTTTTTTGCTGTCTCTAAAAACCCTTCCGTTTTACCACAGCGATCCTTCTGCAGAGCTCATTGTGTTCCAGATGATTTCTCCGGATGTGCACTTCAGTTCTGAACGATACAGAAATGCACAGGGATAGCCCTTTCCTCGCTGCTTGCTCTCTCGTGCTTTTCTTGCTTCAGGAGACAGGTCCTGTTTCTAAAAGCACACTGCATGGCTTCTGATTTGGAACGAAATCGTTGTGCAGCCAGCACTTGGTGTGCAGCTGCATGGGGGTGAATAAGTGAACATAATTTCTGTGCAGTTTTCTGCAGTTTGAGCTTTGTGGCACCTTTCCATTGCTCCTTATTTCACTGCCTTATCTTGAGAATGTATGGCACGGTCACTATGAAAAGAGCTTTGTGTTTGAATTCCTGGTGAGTCGAAGGGTCAGGGCCTATGAGTTATCTGCCTGCCAGCAAGACTCATTGCCGTGTCCCTTTATTTTTCAAGCTGAAATAGAAAAAACATGTGTCCTCATCCCTTTTTTATAAATGCATTTTGAATTCAGGTTTTACATGCTGTTTGTGTGTGCTTTGTTCTTTTGACAAACTCGGGCTTTGGGAGGAGGCCAGTTTTATTCTATCCATATTTATTTTATTTATTCAAGCTTTCCTGCAGCTTTTCTGAATTCGTTTGTTGTGATGCATGTAATTTTTCCTTAAAACAATATTCTGAGATTCTGATTTCTGTTGAGAGAAAAAGGATTTATACTCTGAAATATATTTCCAAAATTACCAGAGAGCTATCTAAATTATAGGTAAGTTGCACAATTATAGAGAAGATAAAGTTTTTATAACATTTTACTTGCTTAAGGAGGGAAACACGACACTTGTGGATAAGTTCTTGAGCAGATTGTGTTAGATACTCTAGTCATCTAGTGTATTGGTAATAAATATGATCTGAGCTATAATGTTATTTCAGTTAGGAGCTGGAAAAAGCTCCTTCATTAGCACAGCAACAGAATTAAACATTGCTTGTTGACAGTAATGTTAGAAATATGTTTGTGAAAACTGCTGAGTGGATGAAATTTAGAGTAATAAATCATCAAGGCATGTCAAAGTTACTCTCTATGTGAGGTTTTAAGATATCTGTAATTTAGAGGAGAGTCTGCTTTTTCTTCAGCAGAAGTGTGATTCTGTATAAAATTATTTTCATCATATAATTCAGGTGCACAAAAAATCTTAAAATTAAGTAGCAGTTATATGGGGCTAAATGGAAAACCCCTATTTGATAGGATAATTCTAATATGCAATGTAAGAAGTTGGTCAGATGAAATCTGCACAGAGGGTATGTTATTGCTTGTTTCTTGATCTGTCTTTCTGTTTTTATGTTCACCTAACAATTAGCAGAATGCTTGCTTGAAAAAAAAAATTGTGGTGTTTCAGATCTGATTTGATCTGATGTTACAGTCCCTTTCAGGTGCAGTTGTCTTGTTCACCTATTGTGTCCTTTCTTATTTGCCAGTTTGAGATCTTGAGTTCACCCATCAATTTTGAAAATGGTTTTAATAGAAAGAGAAATGCTAAGACATAGAGATTTGAATGTAATGCTGCAATGTGGACCTCAAACTTTGCATTTTCTTGTTTTGAATTGAATTTCTATGTATTTTGACTTGGGCTAAGCATTTCTTTCCACAAGAATATCTTTGACTTGTGCTCTTAGTACAGTTAAGGGTGTTCTTTTCTTTTAGGAGTTTCAGGCTTGCTCTGAGGGAAAGAAATATGTTCTCTTCGGTAGCATAAATGTACAATTTCCTTCTTGGCTATGCTGTGAGGGAGGAATACCTGCTGAAGCGCTCTTTACACAAAAGAAACTTTGAGGAGGTGGTCGCCTCCCAGCTTTGGAGGCCTGGGGTGTCACCCCCTCCGGGTGGTCACGAGGCCCCTGGGGAGCAGGGAAAGGTGGGAGCTCACATGGGGCTGCCTCCTCCGTAGGCACATGAGCAGAGGATCCATCCTTTCTGTGCTCTGGGGTTTCCACTCGCAAAATAATGCACCAGTGCTGCTGTGACACCAGACTGGAGGATTATGAACTATTTCTTCATGCTCTGATGACCAGCCCGATGAAGGGGAAAAGGTTTAATGAGGAAGAGGAGAATTTACGGAGGATTTTATGCTTATGTCTATTATTAAAAGCAGAATATCTGCTCACAGTAGTTGTGTTCTGTGATTCAAGGAAAGCCAGCAATAATGATGATTAAATGTGGTATTCTCACTGGCTGTCTGAGGACTGGCACAACTTAATGTGACTGGTAGGAAGCTTAAACATCAATATCTCCAAATACTGTTATTCTCTCTTAGAGAAAGCCAAAGAACCATGAGCTCAGACTAAAATAATTATACAATCTTTTTTAGTTCTCTCTGACACCAGTTAGTGAAAAAAAAAGTAGCTTTGAAAAGGTCATATGTTTGAAAGGTGTTTTTATGTTTTATGTTATTAATGTTTTTCAATGAGTAAATAGATTTGTTTTGTGAATTACATAAAAAATGATTTTGGAAGTTCACTTTTAGTTCATTCTATTCTGTATGGAAGAAGGAAACCCTTTATTTACTAGATCTGTTCCTTTTTATTGGTATCAGTATAACAACAGAAACAGGTGTGTATGACACCTATGCATATCTTTAGAGTCACAATAGAAATCATGAAAACTCAAGACTAATAGTTGATTTTTCTTTCAAAGAGAGGAACTAGTTTGTTCTGTCATGACAAGGTGTCTCTAACAATAGATGAAGGAAAATTGGCAGGTATAAGACAATTTTAGTATTCATGGAGTCAGTGAATCACAGTGTTGTTAAGATGAATTAAAAAAAACCCGAACTCTAATTCCTAGTCATTGTGAAATTATTTTTTTGAGAATTAAAAAAAACCAAACAAACCCAAAGATAAAAATTTATTTCATCTTCTCAGCCACAATTCATGATCACATTGGAATGTGATCTTTGGAATACCCAAATTAGCTTTCAGTTTCCATTTACTTTCCAACAACTTATTCAAACCATCACCAGAATACTGTCCCAGAAGGTGATGATTAAGGGGAAAGAAGAAGAGATAAAAGGAGAAATATTTGGCCTATGAAATGATTTAAGTACTTTTAACATGTGAGTAAAAGCAAATGATCAGGGAGAAGAAGCAGAAGTGAGGATAGGAGCAGTAATAAGAGTGGCAGAACTTAACAAGCAAACCAGAGGAGACCTAAATGTAGAAGGTGCATGGCATGGTAGAAGAAACACACCCTGTCTGAAATTATTTGAGATGAGTCTTGGGAATTTTGCTGTCTTACTCTGGGTTTGTTCAGAAGTATTTCCACTGCTGGCAGCCAGTTTCATAACTGAAGTTATAAATTCACCCAAGAAAGTGGTCTGTTCCTTCCAAAACTATGATCACAGCATTTCAGAGAGGAGGATGTGACATGGAGCCTCTCTTTTCCACCTAACATCCTCTTATATTTCTTTATCCTCTTATGTACTTCTCTCTGTCTAGCTGTGCAGGTACAGGTGAGGATCATGGTTACATCCATCAGGTCAGGTTGTGACTGATTTTGAGCACAGGTTAAGTTTGTTGGGTTTTTTTCCAACTCCTACAAGATCCCTGCAACTTTTTAAATGTTCTTTTCCTTTTGCCAGTTCTGATTTTTGGTTCTGGGGGAGATGGATGAGAAATATCAATGGGCTTTCCTCTGCCTCTCCTCTTAGCAAGCCATCCACTTTAAATCCTTTTTATCACGCATGGCTTTATTCAGGACTCTGTCAAAGATCCTACTGATTTTGGTAGGGATTGGGTGAGGCCAGCAGGGGAGTTCAAAACTGTGTTCATGATGGTTTTCAGTGTATGAATGTGGCAACATAATGGTTTAAGATTCCTCAGTATTCTACTGGAAACAACACCAAAGTCCACAACCACAGAAGTACATACAATGCTATCTCCAGTTTCTGAAATATTTGTCTCTCTGTTACAGAAATGTTTGGTGATTCAAGCAACAACTAGATGAAATTTCCAATTCTGACATTACCTTTAAAACCCCAAAGACTGTGGTAGTATTAGTAATGTAACCTCAGTTTATTCAGCAGCATGACAGAGGTAGGTAACAAATACATCTTCAAGTACTGCAAAAAGTACAATCTTCTCCCTCTTTTAGGCCATTTTGAGTGACAGTATTCCATTTGTACCATCAACTGTCCACATTTCATCTTAACCCTAAAGGTCTTCCATGGACCCTAAATTTCCTGTGAAAGGCCTGCAATTGGTCCAGTTTTGAACAGTGCACATTGAATTATGTTAAATGATAAAGGAAAAGATAAATTAAAGAGAAGGCCCTATGCTGAAGTGCAGGTCCCATTGTTGTTCAGAATTTTCATTATTTCCAAAAAGCAGCAGCAGCAGCTGAAGACATCCTCCTAGAACAGTCCTTTGTGGCAGAGCTGGATGGAGGTGTCCCAGTGCTCTCTCACTGCTTCTTCTCCCCACCACTTCTCTGCTAACAAAAACTGTGTAAGTTGTTATGGCCAGGCTGGTGGAAGTACCTTCAAAGTGCCTTCTCAAAGGTGACATGATTTTGAAGTCCCTCTGGATCGAGGACCAATGTCCTCTGAAAATACTGCCTGTGGTTTTGGTCTGTATTTTATAAGTTGTTCATGACTGTGGCCTGGTTGTCACTGAGCATCTGTTATTTCGGTCTGTGTATAAGAAATTCCTGAAATAAGAATCTGTGCCCTTAGTAGGAGAAAGTAAGTTATAACATATAAACAATGAAAATGGAAGAGACAGTGATTGGCACAGAAATTTATTCAAAAAACATACAAAATGTGACACAGCAGCATGACAGAATCAGCCTGAGTTAGAAATAATTTTGAATTGTGTGGAAACCAGAATGCACTTTCTATGAGCCCCATAAAGCTTCTTTCAAGCTCTGGATGAAAATTCACAAGGAAGGCTA